TTTTTTTTTGATACCGGGCACTCCTTCCTTCCTGCTTGTTCAATGGTATTGCGCAAAGCAGCCCCTTTTCTCCTCTCTTCGAGTACCCCGCTGGTGCTCCTGGATCTTCCTCCTCAGTGAGTGCCCACCATAGGAAGCCGCTTTCAATGGGGGCACGTGCAGGGGCGGACTGACCATTTGGAAACTCGGGCACTGCTCGAGGGCCCAGGATCAGTAGGGGGCAGGGGTGGACTGACCATTTGGAAACTCGGGCACTGCCCGAGATGCCCCTGCTACCTTTTTCATAGGCTTTTTTGAGCTTGGGCAAGGACACAGGGGCCCCATGATCCCCTATTGCCCGGGGGCTCCATGAGTTGTCAGTCTACCCCTGGTAGGGGGCCCCATGAGATGCCCCTGGTACCTTTTTCATAGGCTTTTTTGAGTTTGGGCAAGGACACAGGGGCCCCATGATCCCCTATTGCCCAGGGGCCCCATGAGTTGTCAGTCTGCCCCTGGGCACGTGTGCAGACTCCTGAGTCTCCCTGTCTGTGTCTATTGGCACAGACATGGCAGCTCGGCCCCGCCCTCCACCCCGTCACAGAATTTGATTGACAGCAGCAGGAGTCAATCTGCCCAGTGAGAAGGGAGAGAGTGGAGAGAACCGCTGCTCTCGTGCACATCGCTGGATCAGGATTGGGCTCAGGGAAATATAAGGGGGGGAGGGGGAGAGCTGGGAGGATCTTCTAGCAAAGAAAGTTCTTTACCTTAATGCATCGAATGCATTAAAGTGATATTAAAGGCTCAGCTGTCTTTTTTTAAATAACAGACACAATATACTTACCTGCTCTGTGCAATGGTTTTGCACAGAAAAGCCTCCTTTCCTCCTTTTCTCGGGTTCCTTGTTGGCACTCCTGGCCTCTCCCCCCTGCTGAGTTCCCACATGGCAAGCCACTTTCTATAGGGGCATGCGTGTGTGCTTGCTCCTGAGCTCTGCTCTGTGTCCATTGACACACAAAGCAGGGATTAGCCCCACCCCTCTCCGTCGGCTCCCGCTGCTGTGTCTGAGCCAATGAGGAGGGAAAGAGCCAGGATCGATATTCGGCTTAGGTAAGTATTAGGGTGGGCTTGGGGGGAGGGGAGCAGCAAACAGACAGTTTTTACCTTCGTGCATAGAATACCTGAAAGTAAAAAACCTTTAGCCTTTACAACCACTTTAAAACAGAAGTATAGACAAAGCTTTTTTGGCCACGCATCTCTTGTGGGTAAGAGGAGTGCACTACCTTTGCTCTCATGCAAGCTCCTGACAATATGGTTAGGATCCACCCAGATGCCTGATTGACAGCTGACTCCACTTCTCATGGATGAGAGCTGGAGTCAGCTGCGCTCCCCCTCTCCTTACCCATTGGGACAATGCTTTCTAACAACAGCTTTTTTTTACAGTTCTGGGAAACATTCACATCTATGTGTTTTTGAGCTTCTGCGTTTTTGGAAAGGGTCAGGGACTTTTTTAAGTGCAAAACAATGCATTTTGGTTCAATAGACTTCAATGGAGATGCTGCATAAAATACAAGTAGTGTGTTTTGTGTTTTTTATCTGCCCAGCAACAAGTTGGCCCAAAAAAATACACAAAATACATGAAAAAAAAATGTGTAAAAAAGTATAAGAAATTTGTGTACAAAAATGCATTGCAAACAGCGCTGCAAAACATACAAAAATTGGTGGTGTGAACCAGGCCTTAGTTGCTTTCGCTTTTTACACGTGCTTACTGTGTTTTGCATTGGTGGACATATTTGTGTTTTATGTCATTTGTGTGATGTATTCCTAATAAATTGTGCTGCTTCACTCAGATTTTAGTCTGGTTTTCTATGTGTAGCTCCACTGATCTGGTCTTGCTAAACGTCAGTATACCAGCACATAGTGCTCTAATTAGGGTGCATACCAAATGCTGTAAAACCTCTGACACATTTCATGCTGGTTACCGCTTACTCATAGAGTGATCATCAGTAATTTTTATCTCATCATTAAACCGCAATCATCCCTCCCAAGGGAAGACCCTACACCAGCGTTCAATGGTCAGGAGATCATGATCAATTCATTGTAAAGTATTACATTCATTTTATATATACAAAAACTGCATACAAATATGTTTTTTCAATACAAAATCTCAACATTGAAATAGTTTTATTTTCTAAGGTCCCTGGCTGACTGCATAATAATATGTATAATACAAAACAGGTATTGCGCTAAAAAGGAATATGTGTAGCTGCCGGCACATCAATAGATATAAGTTGATCAACCAGTGATCTTGGCCAGTTTATTACATTCTGTATATAAAGTGCAGCGCTCAAAATTCAAGGAAAAGTGAATAAATATAGAAATAAATCCAACATATAGATAAATAGTCCCAAAATGAGCATGGAGCATGCCCTGGAAGACATTGTCTATGACAAAACGCATAGGGTGGAGCCTATGTTTGTGACAACATCACACATCGCGATACCCAGAAGTAGTCTGCTTGAGCACTGAGACCGGCTTTGTTATTATACAGTTGTGTTCAAAATAATAGCAGTGTGTTGAAAAAAATGAATAAAGCTCAAAATCCTTCTAGTAGCTTTTATTTCCATACACACAAATGCATTGGGAACACTACACATTCTATTCCAAATCAAAACATGAAGAAATATATATCAAATTTGTGTTGTTCCTCTAAAAAAATTGAAGAAAAGTGAATATTAGACTGTTCAAAAAAATAGCAGTGTTTGTATTCTTCTTTACAAACTCAAACATTCACTATATAAACTGAAAAATGTTTGAAGATTTTGCTGTCCTTTGAATCACTTAATGAATATTTTGTTGTATAAGCACTGTTTCTGAGAACTGTTGTACATCTGTGTTGCATGGAGTCACCCAACTTCTGGCACCTGTGAACAGGTATTCCAGCCCAGGATGATTGGACTACATTCCACAGTTCTTCTCTATTTCTTGGTTTTGCCTCAGAATCTGCATTTTTTATGTCACCCCACAAGTCTTCTATTGGATTAAGATCCGGGGATTGGGCTGGCCACTCCATAACGTCAATCTTGTTGGTCTGGAACCAAGATGTTGCACGTTTACTGGTGTGTTTGGGGGTCGTTGTCTTGTTGGAACACCCATTTCAAGGGCATTTCCTCTTCAGCATAAGGCAGCATGACCTCTTCAAGTATTCTGAAGTATTCAAACTGGTCCATGATCCCTGGTATGCGATAAATAGGCCCAACACCGTAGTATGAGAAACATCCCCATATCATGATGCTTGCACCACCATGCTTCACTGTCTTCACAGTGTACTGTGGCTTGAATTCAGTGTTTGGGGGTCGTCTGACAGACCGTCTCCGGCCACTAGACCCAAAAAGAACAATCTTAATTTCATCAGTCCACAAAATGTTGCGCCATTTCTCTTTAGGCCAGTCAATGTGCTCTTTGGCAAATTGTAACCTCTTCAGCCCATGTCTTTTTTTCAACAGTGGGACTTTGTGGGGGCTTCTTGCAGATAGCTTGGCTTCACATAGGCGTCTTCTAATTGTAACAGTACTCACAGGTAACTTTACACCTTCTTTGATCTTCCTGGAGCTGATTGTTGGCTGAGTCCTTGCCATTTTGGCTATTCTTCTATCCATTCGAATGGTAGTTTTTCGCTTTCTTCCCCGTCCTTCAGGTTTTGGTTGCCATTTTAAAGCAATTGCCATCATTTTAGCTGATCAGCCTATCATTTTCTGCACTTCTTTATATGTTTTCCCCTCTCCAATCAACTTTTTAATCAAGGTACACTGTTCTTCTGAACAATGTCTGGAACGACCCATTTTCCTCAGAATTTCAGAGAGAAATGCACTGTAACCAGCATGTACAACATTTGCTGCCTTCCTTCCTTAAATAAGGGCAATAATTGCCACCTGTTTTTCAAAGAATGAATGACCTCACTAATAGAACTCCACACTGCTATTATTTTGAACATGCCCCTTTCAATGAGTGATTCAATTACACAGAATCAGCAGCATGCATGTCATGACTGTTGGGTCTGTTGGATTTCTATTACTCTACTACACCTGCTAGTAAATTATTTGCCATGTAGAAATATAATTTCTACCAAAAACAGTGATTGATCAGGTTAGTGATGTCTGGCTGCTATTATTTTGAACACAACTGTACATGTGCAGCTCTCAAAACTCAAGGAAAAACACCATAAGTGAATAAATGGGAAAAAAGCCTCAACATGAAAAATAATTCTTATCCAACTTCCTCTCGGACAGTTAGATTGCTTCACAAAGAATGAAAACCACACCGCTGTGGACCTCCACCATGTGCTAAATAAACACGCTTACTAGATGATACTTCATTTGTAGGGAAGTTAAAACACACTTGCATGAACAGAGAATTCTACTCAGTTTATAACATCTCCCCTCCTGTATCAGTCTCCTGTCATTCCACACATATCCAAGCTCCACTGAATCCATAGAGAGGAAATCAGAGAAGCCACATCGTATAAATCCGTAAACACCCACGTTTATTAAAAAAGTAAAATACAATGATAAATAACAATGTCACATGAATAATAACAAAGCCGGTCTCAGCACTCAAGCAGACCACTTCTGGGTATCGGGATGTGTGATGTTGTCACAGACAAAAGCTCCACCCTATGCATTTTGTCATAGACAATGTTTTCCGGGGCATACTCCATGCTCATTTTGGGACTATTTATATATATGTTGGATTTATTCCTACATTTATTCACTTATGGAGATTTTCCTTGACTTTTGAGTGCTGCACTTTATATACAGAATGTAATAAACTGGCCAAGATCAAAGACAGCTGGGGTAGGGACCTACCATGGGAGGGATGACTGTGTATTAAAGTTTAGAGGGAGATCAGGAATAGGTGCTAACTAGCATGAAACGTGTTAGCGGTTTCTACCCCGCTTTAGTGCTATAAAAGGTTTATGTAAAGAACACCATCACCCATGTTCAATTGCAGAGCTTGAAATGTGTGTTGCAATGGTGGTACAAATATGTTTAATATTACAGGATCCAATGTGACCAGGGGCGGACTGACAACTCATGGGGCCCCCTGGCAATAGGGGATCATGGGGCCCCTGTGTTCTTGCCCAAACTCAAAAAAGCCTATGAAAAAGGTACCAGGGGCATCTCATGGGGCCCCCTACTGACCCCGGGCCCTCGGGCAGTGCCCGAGTTTCCAAATGGTCAGTCCGCCCCTGAACGTGACCATCTTATTATTGAGAGAAAAGAAAACTTTACTGGTTCTTGAAAACATAGTAGGGACTAGGGTTGCATCGATACCAATACTGGTATCAGTGCCAATACTAAGCATTTGCATGAGTACTTGATTTGCTTGTTATAGTGACCTCAGCTGGGTTCATACAGGAGCAGTGCAGGAAAACGTATATGGTTCGGACAGGATTCACACCACATTCCTGTTCAAATCACATGTGATTTTTTTTGCAGTGCAATTTGAGCCCATTCATTTTGTATTGGTTCCAATCCAAAAAGGATTCAGTTTTAGGTATCAGAGCATTTACACGAATACAAGTACTCATGCAAATGCTTAATATTGGCATTGATACCAGTATTGGTATTGATGCAACCCTAGTGCCTACCATGTTTTTAAGAAGGTATCGGTAATTGGTATTGATGAGTACTTGATCACAAGTAACGGTACTCATACTCACCAGTAAAAAAACATGTATTGGTGCATCCATATTTTGATGACAATTTACCAAATTCACAATTTAAAATGGGTCTTGGAGGTTGTGGAAGCTCTTTTTAACTATCCTGGATCTGTTCTTATACTAAAATTGGATCCTCATTAACTAGGAGCATGGCATTAGATATCGGGGAACAAAGAAACCTTGACCCTAACTGTTAAACGAATGTTAATCTTCCATACAAATGGACAAAAAATGTGAATTTTTAAGAAAAAAAAATCTTTTTAAAGCTGAACTTGGGGAACACATATGAAATACATATATGAAAGCTGTTTTACCTGCCAAGAGGAATAGTACTTCCATCAATCCAGTCCTGAGATTTACCCAGCTCTGACACACAGCACAATCTCATCTGGCTGCAGTTTCACTTTCACTTACAAGCATCCTCCCCACCTTCTGACTGGACAATGAAAGGAGAAGTGGCACACTGATTACTTATTTATTGAAGAGTTACTTTGCTCTCTTTCTCTCTTTCTAAAAGCTTTCTAAAACCTTGATAGAACATGAGCACTAGAGTACAGCTGATTGGCTCCTTGTGTTGCTTCTCCTTCTCCTAATCAAAGTCAAATTTAAGGCACATAAATAAATTGGTGTATTAATAAATACAAGGCCGCATCACTTTGCCTGCTTTAAATCCCAGAAACATCTGAACACTGGAAAATTCACATGCTGTACATGTTTCACTATGGTCATTTTAACAAATTATTATTATTATACAGGATTTATATAGCGCCAACAGTTTGCGCAGCACTTTACAAAATGACAACAAATGGTTGCAATTTAAGATATAGTCTAAAGATTGTATTAAAATGTTTTTTTTTCATTGATTTCATGTTTTCCCATTGGTTAGGACTCAGCAGTGGCTGTAACAACCACAAACGATGGCAATAAAGTCTACAATGATAACAAATGGCATGAAGTTACTGTCAGACGGAGCCAAAACACGGGTTATATAACTGTGGATGGAAAGTACACAGGTAGAGTCGCATCTCTAAAGACAATGCATTGTAACGTGCTGAGTTGCAATAAAATGTATGTCTACATCATTTATCACAGCGCACACCAATGAAGTGAATTGGTGTGAACAGGCCCTATATAAAGCAAGCATATTGCATTAACATCAGCCTTAACATTTGCAGCTTGTGTCTCTTAATCTCTTTGTGCAGGTTTTGGCTCCTCATCTGGTGCTGGTACAGTGATTGGCGATAACACTGGTGTATATATTGGAGGACTCCCAAACCATTTTTCAGTAGAAAGAGATGACACAGGTGAGAACAAGCATACATATGATTGTCATTCTACAGTAATGATGTCATCTTATTTAGCCTTGCTAACCAGCAAAGGTGACCTAGTTGTAACGCACTTCTATGATAGAAACAGAGTTGCCTGTTGCATACAGGGCCAAGGGAGGGGGGCAGGAGGAATGAATGCCCTGGGCACATGTGAGGTGGGCGGGGGGCACTGCAAGAAGATTGTGGGGAGAGGATTTTTGTGTTGGAAGGGAGAATTTGGGTGGTGGCAGGAAGTAAGAATTGTTCTGGGAGATTAAATTTGGGGCAGTGCTAGGAGTGGTGATTTGAATGGGGGGGCAGGGGAAGAGGATTTGTGCTAGGAGGGGGATTTGGGGGGGGGGTTGTGCTAAAAGAGGTGATGTGGTAGAGGAGGGAGGGGGTTTGTGTTAGGAGGGGAATTTTTTTTATTGAGGGGGGAATTTGTGCTAGTAGTAGGGATGATTGGGGTTTATTTGTGCTAGAAGGAAAGATTTGGGGGGAGGATTTGTTCTAGAAGGGGGAATTTGTGCTGGGAGGGGGGATTTGGAGTGGGTGGGGGGTTGTGTACTCATAGAGAAAATTTAAGGGGTAGAAGATTTGTGTTAGGAGGGGTGATTGTTTTGTAGGGAGGGGGAATTGTGCTGGGGAGAATTAGATAGAAAGAGTGGTACATTACTTTTAGTTCAGTGCTGTAGCTGGCAGCTCTCCATCCATACAGAGGCCTTACAGGTGGTCCTTGTAAATATTTTCAAGTGTCCAGAATGGTCTTTATTGTTTAGCGCCCTGCCCTAGTCAGGTTAAACTTTGTTTTTGGCTCTACTGTACTCAGTGTGATAGCAATTTGTTTCTTTGGTGCGGTCCGATCAGGTTTCTCTAAGCTTGATGGTTGGTTGTTACTGCCTGCCTCTGGAAGGAGTTTCCAGAAATTTTGGGGATGGTCAGCCACTGAAGTTATGAATATTCATCTGACTTCAGCCAATCCCTGGGAGGAAGCACCCAAAAAGTGGATGGGGAGAAGATAAATATTTGCGAAGCCTGTTCAGAGTGTTCTTGTCCTGCGGCTGCTGCCCCTGGGATACAGCTTGTGCAGGGCTGTGGATAAGAGGGTACCACCGGCCTTCTTGTATGGGGCCAGGCAAACAGTGGCCCAGGCAGCAGGATGAATGAGATGTGGGCAATACTTGAACTGTATTCCTCTCTATGCAGCAGCTGAAAGCTTACTTCTACTCTCCCTTCCATTGTCTTTCAGCTGCTGCAGATGAGAGCCATACAGGTGATCAGTTCCAGTAATTGCCTCCCTGCCACACCGATCACCCTCCCTGTGCATCATACATTTCCCCCTACTGCCCAGGTCCCCCAGGGTACTCCCTCTACCCCTGCAGTGTTGCCGGATTCCCTCCTCTCTTTCCCGCGGTCATATTGCTGACGGTGTATGCCATATTTACCAGCCCTTTCCTATCCTGAATGAACACAATGAGTGATTCACTGTGTTCATTCATACCTTAAGTAATAGTGTGTGGTGCCCCGTGTCAGGTTGTCTGTATGGGGCCCTGTTGTTTCTAATAGCAGCCCTGAGCTTGTGTACTGGAGTTGCTGTATAAGCCTCAGCATGTACTTGGCTGACAGCCTGAAGGAGATCTGATTGAGAGGCATTTGCTGGAGGGTATCACCTGTACAGATTGGTCTGGCGAAGGACCTTTTCCTTCTCACTGGAGAGTGTTGCATGAAGGCTGGGTGACAGACAGCTTTCCTAGGATTTTGTGAGTATGATTTTGAGGCTCAATGCACACTAGTGTTTTTAATAAGCTCAAAAAATGCTTGAAAAAAACGCTGGATGAAAAATGCTGATAATAGTGTTTTTTGTGCCATCTTGTAATAGCATTTTATTAGTGTTCAGAAACACTTGGGAGCATTTAGGAGCATTACCAACCCTTGTTTTTATATCTTAGGTGACACTGAAATTATTCAGAAGAATTTTGTTGGCTGCCTTGGTGACATATACATACAGAGACATGACAGCTCTACAGAAGAATGGGACCTGCTGGACTGGGATATGGCAGAAGAAAGACACAATGTCTTTGAGAAGTGGGAAGGATGTCCAGAGCCTTCAAATGTTGGAGCATATTTCCTGGGCTTTGGTAATGTCACTGATCCGTTTACTGCTTTTGAGTAAAGAAGTGGCTGAAAGAAAGTGAAAGAAAAACTGTTATTACCCAAAGTGTCCAATCGTCACCTTCATTGTCACTGTTAGACACTCTTATGCCTAGTACGTACGATGAGAGAATAGGACAAAAAATACCGTTTTCAGAGCAATCTTCCGATAATCTGATTGTTAGTACACAACTTTCGAGAGCCGATCACAACAGTTCATGGGACAATATCCAAAGGGACAAGAATGAACAATAACAGACATATATTCATTTAACCTCCCTGGCGGTATTTCCGAGTGTAGCTCGGGGGGGTAAAGTTTCAGTACCACAAGCGGTAACCCCGAGCTACACTCGGGAATACCTTGCAGCATTGCTCCGGGATCTATTCTGCACTTACCTTGTCCTTCACTCTTGCGATGTCCCCCCTGCAGCGTCCCCGGCAATGTCCTCTGGCCGATAGCCGCATCTGTCTTCTGGGTTCCGTTCCCTGCGACGTCGGGACATACGGGGACGAAACGGCGGGAAATGTAAAAATGTGAAAAAGTGACATTCACTAAATACACTAAAATCACATAGTAAAACATTACTGTATCAAACCATTTCACATACATTTTGTCCCGAGTGCTTTGTCCTGTGCCCTGCCTGCACTGTTCTTTCTGCCTGGAAACTGAGAATAGTCCATGGCGTTCAAAAAGCGTCCCTTTAGGTCAAAATCGGTTTTAGACCAGCTAGAGAACAGCGATAGTAAATCAGAACTACTTGCAGAATTGAGTGATAATGATTCGTGGGGAAATTCGTCATCAGACACTGAAAAAGATTTTGCAACTTTGCTCAGTGATGTGCGAACTTGGCGCTATATTTCAAATTTCAGTGTTTTTGGTTTGATTAT